GGGGGGGGGGGGGGGGGGGGGGGGGGGGGACGGGAACCGTCGGTGTGTGGGAGTATTGTTTCGGAGTTCTCCGCCACTAGCTGGGAGTGGATGAGGATCGCAGAGGAATCCAACGGAAACTGAGCCTTCCAGGACCGGGATCCCAGCTGATCCCGGGAAATCTCAGGGCAGAATCTGCAGGGACAAAGGCCCCAGAAGACTCGGGCCGTGAGAGAACTGGGGTCGCTGCAATCCAGGTTCTCGCGGCAAGTGTCAGGCAGGGCGCGAGTGATCCGCTGATCGCAGCCGCGGCAGCGGGAAGACACCTGCTCCAGGCGGCCAGCCGAGGGCGCCCTTCCGCGCCCCACGGCTCCGGCCCGTGGGCTACCGGGAGCCGCGGGCGGACCATGAAGGGCGGAGCCCCAGGGGAGGGGCTGGCCCTCACTCCCCGCTCCCCCGCTCCCCCCCTACCCCAGGCTGCAGCCTGGGATCCCCCAGGGACTCCCCGGAGCCGCCGCTTCCCCCATGGACTTGCCCGGGGACTCCAGGTGAGAGCGCACCCCGCCCGCCTGTTTTGAGCCGGGGAAACGGGGAGCCTGGCGGCTGCACCGGGGAAACCACAGAACCAACGACAGACTCAGGCGACCGTCCTCTGCTTCTCTCATCCTCCAGCCCGCCTGGCCGGCCGCGTCTATGCCGCCAACCCCTGACTCGAGCATTATGGGGAGCCAGGAGCTCGAAACGGCCGAGGCTGCAGCCCCTGGGGGCCCCTTCGCCCTTGGAAAAGGCCTCTCGGCGAGTCCTGGCTGTGGTGCTAGAAGATGTCATGACTGCCCGCATGGTGAGCCCCCTGAACTGAGAAGCCCCTTTCTCCCCCAGGTCTCCTCCTCACCAAAGTCATACCAGATCATTAATGAGGATGACTGAGGTCCAGGCACCTCATTCTCACATCCATTGCTCAGACAGTCTCCTGAATGCTGCAGTTCTGCTTGGCTTTTTCTTACTTCAACCTAGAACTGAGCAGGGTCTCCAGTGCCTATTCCCCACTGCCAATCCTGTTGGGCTGGAATCACATCCCTACAACTCTTTAAATATGAGAAACCTTTCTGTTTTCTTTCCAGCCCAACTTCTAGGCAATCCTTGGGAAGCAGGTTGAGGTCTTTGGCTCCTTTGCACAGATGAGAAATCTGAGACCTCACATAGGGCAGTGACTCACCCAAGATCACCCCTCTCCTTTTCATTGCACCAAACAGCCTGGGTGAGATTACTCAGGTCCCATACCTGCAGCTCAGGACACTGTACTATCTGGCTCCTAATCCAGTTCAACTCTCCTCTTCTTTGAGGATCTGGGGTGAATTCTAGCCACAATCTTTGTGGCATAGGGCACTGTTAGGCACAGGGAGGCCTGGTCCAGTCCAACCTCATTCCATCACCTTGCTGTTGATATCTTCTCCTCTCCTAGGTACCCCTGGCTCCCCAAGAGGAGCTCTCCACCCCACAGCACCACAGCAACCTTCAGGATTCTGTCCGCACCCAGCCACCTGCCTCTCCACCCCAACAGGCTGTGTGGTCCTCACAGGCCAGGTGAGCATGGCAGGATTGGAGGTAAGCTGGGGTCACAGCTGAGCTGCTCTGATCTTCCTATTCCCTCTCTAGGCCTCCGGAGCCACTGCACTTATGCAGAGAACCCTTAAGCCGCATCTACCAGTCCCCTTCCACCATGAGGTGGCGATCAAGGACAACCCCTGGCCCAGAGGAGGGCCCTTCACGAAAGGTGGACCGGGCCCCCCAGCCTACTCTGGTGGTGGTGCTAGAAGACATTGCCAACCCCAAACCCCCAGCTGAGGTATGGGAACTTTGGGTAAGGATCAGGGTTCAGCTAGAGACAGGCACTCCAGTAGGGATAGAAAACAGGGGTAGGAGGGCTGAGCCTGAGGGTGGATTTTTCTCAGAGCAAGGAGGACAGCATTTTAGGTGGAAGACACTGCCTGAGCAAAGAGCTATATGAAAGTCTTCGGTGTGAACCCAGGCCAACATCTGGAGACTGAGAGAGTTGCGATGTGGGGAGCTAAGGAGGCCAAAAGGGGCTTCCCTGCCTCCCCACAAACATCCTCTTTTATATCCAGGGCTTCACCGATGAGACTCCCAACTTTATCATCCCAGTGAGAAGGTGAGAGGGCTAGGGAAGGGATTGTCAAGATGTCCAGGCAACAACTATTATCTAGGCAACCAGAGCTAGGGGTATCAGAATTTACTTGTCTAATCGTTTCTTGTAACAGCTTCAGAAGCCTTAAGGGACAGGGGAGTTGCTGGTTCAGGTGGCACCTTGACCTGGAAGCTCCCCTAGCCTTTACTTTGCCCCTTTACCCCAGAGCTGAGCCCATGATGATGGTTCACCAGCCAGTGCCTCTGCCCAGGGACCTGGAACCCCCATTCCGGCCATCTTCTCTGCCTGCAGACCCTGCGGAGAACCCACCACCAGGTAAGTGCTCAGATAGAGGGATGAGACTTGGGGCTCTGGAAAATCTTAGCTGAGCTTAGAAGTGTCAGGTGCAGAGGTGGGGATGGGGATTAATCAACTTCCAGGGCAGAAGATGGGGTTTAGACTTTGGAGGCCTAAAGTTCGACTTTTAAATTTAGGGCTTAATTTTTAGGGGTGGGCTTATTTCTCTGTGGGCAAAGCTTAGTGTCTGGGGGAGGAGCTGAGGCTACTGAAGTGGGGCTTAGACACCTGCAGCTAAGCAATGCCCACCTGACCCTCTCATTTCCTCAGCCCCAGATCCTGTTCTGGAGCCCCCATCGACCCCACCGCCGTCCAGCCTTTTACGCCCCCGCCTCAGTCCCTGGGGCTTGGCTCCCCTCTTCCATTCCGTCCGCTCCAAGCTGGAGAGCTTTGCTGACATCTTCCTCACACCCAACAAAGCCCCACAGCCCCCACCCCCATCATCCCCCATGAAGTTGGAGCTGAAGATTGCCATCTCAGAGGCGGAGCAGTCCAGGGCTTCTGAGTGCACTACGTCTGTCAGTCCCCGGCCCCCTATCCGCCAATGGCGGGCCCAAGACCACAATCCCTCAGCACCTCTCCCTAAGCCCTCTCTGGGCCGAAGCCACTCCTGCCCTGATCTGGGGCCCCGTAGCCCAGATACCTGCAGCTGGCCCCCTGCTCCACCCCACCCAAGCCGGCCACGGCCCCGGCGGCACACTGTGGGTGGCGGAGAGATGGCCCAAGCCCCGCCACCCCCTCGGCCTTGTCTCCGGAAAGAGGTCTTCCCTCTTGGAGGAGTGGGAGGCTCTCCTCCCCTCGTCACATCTTGCTCATCCACCACATCCACTTCCTCCTTCTCTGAACCTGCAGAACCCAGGTAGTTCTCTTGATAAACCCTCCATAAAGCCCTGGCCATAGTGTGGGCCTAGCCTCCTTCCCTAGTGTCCAGTGGGCAAGAGATGGGGATTTTGCTGTGAATGTTGTTTGTCCCTGAGCCTTGGCCTTCTCTGCAGGTTGGGCTCAACCAAAGGGAAGGAGCAAAGGGCCTCAGAGGACCAGGTGCTTTCAGACCCTGAGACCAAGGTAGGAGTACAGATGGCAGGGAGGAGCAAAGTGGGAGTCTGAGCCCATGCTGCACTCTTACTCGGTGGCCCACTTTTGCAGACCATGGGAAAAGTTTCTCGATTCAGAATACGCAGGACACCAGCCCGTTCTCAACTAAACCTTACCCCAATGGGGCTGCCTCGACCAATCAGGTGAGAGGCTCATTGTGCACGGAGCTGCCCTGGCCAAACAGGTATAGGCTCAGATCCCTGAAGTGTGGCTTTGTCTCATCTTAGGGACTAAAATCCAGCTTGGAGGAGTCAATTTAGAGTGGACATGGTTTGCGCTTAGAACTATCTGTCTGCCTCAGGCAGCACTCCTGGCTCCTGGCATGTCTCAGAAACTGAAATAAAGATGAGGCCTTGCTTATCTCTTCTCCAGGCCCCACTGGCCCCAGGTTTCTCAGTGGGTTCTGCTCTTTGCCTGCAGGTTGAACAAGAAGGAGTTCAGCTTGGAAGAAATTTACACCAACAAGAATTACCAGTCACCTACAACCAGGAGGTGAGAAACTTTGAAGGCTTGGGGGTGCTAGAGGGACGGCTGGAACCAGGGGGCATGCTGGTAACCAGCACCCCTCCCTGCCTGGTCCAGGACCTTTGAGACCATCTTCGAGGAACCCCGGGAGCGCAACGGGACTCTGATTTTCACCAGCTCAAGGAAGCTCCGGCGGGCTGTAGAATTTCGGGACAGCAGCCTTCCTCGATCCCGGCGGCCATCTCGCGGGGTCCGGGCTGCAGCTGGCAGGACCCTTACTCCCAATCTGGTCCCCAGCCCAGATGTAGGACCCCTGCTACAGCAGCGGCTGGAGGAGCTGGATGCCTTGCTCCTGGAGGAGGAGGAAGTGGATAGAGAGCAGCCCCATCGGACCTAGGAGTTCCATCTGTTTGTCTGTTCATCCATCCTGGAGGCGGGGGAGGCTCTGAGGCAGTTATATTTTTTCTTTATATTTCTAGTAAAGTTTTCGATATGTTTCTGATTCTTTTGTATGTCTCTAGTTGAGTTTGAGATTGATTGGCAGTACTGGCTGATGTTTCTACTTTGGCCCCTAAAGACTGGGAAATGGAAGTGCCAGGGAAGGCGATGAGGATTGGATACAGGGAATGGGTGGGGGAATGGTCACTGGAAATACTCTCTTGATTTGAGAATTTTCCTGTGTGGCAGGATACTTCTGAATCTGTTCCAGAAGATACTGTAACCCTGGACCCTGGTCAGGGTTCTCTCAATTCACTTATATCAAGGAGGTGCCTGAAAGTCCCAGAGTGGACTAAGGCCTTGATCCAGATGGCCCTGAATTCCTCCTAACATGCAGGCCAGGACCCACTTGTTGGTTTCAAGAGCTAAGAGTAATCAGCTGTAATTGAGCACCTACAACAACCAGTCACAGGTACTTGATGTGCAGAGAGCCCTATGAGAAGGAATTTTATCCGTAAGAAAGCAAGTTGAGTGTGTCAGTGCAATGTCCACATTAAAAGGGTAACCGAGGCAACCAGAGGCCAGAAGTTATAACTCAGAGGCAGAACAGAGCAGTTGCCAAGAGCACAGACTCCGGAGCTAGGCTTCTTGAGTCCAAATCCTGGTTAGGAAACTAAATGTTAGAGCATCAATTCCCCTCCCCCTCTGTAAAATAGGGCTAAAAGAATTCTTATTGCCAAATAAATTAATATGTGAGAAAGTGCTGGGTACACAGTGCTAGGTGTTTTTTCTTGTTAGCACGCGTAGACCACAGGTCAGCACTTTCCCACTGAACCGAGCGATAACGGGACGCGGTTTCCTCTCCGTGCTTCTGGCGTTCGCAAAGCACACCGCGTGCTCGGGCCACCCCGCGCCGCGGCGGAACCTGCTGAGCTGCTAGCCGGGCGGTGATATCACCACGCGCGTGCGCGAGGAGCGAGGCGGCCTGGGCGGCGGAAAAGAGGAGTAACAGGCTGTCGACAAGCACCTTGCGTGGCCGCGCGCCGCCCAGCGGCCAACCGTCCCCTACGACCCGCGCACCGCATCCCGACTCCTCGCCTTGACGCCGTCAGGAGGTGGGCCAATGAACGAAGAGCAGGAAGAGGCGGGGCCACCTGGAGGACCGCCCCAAGCACCTACTTCTAACCAGTCGAGTTACAAGACTCGATGGAGGGCGGAGCTAATCTGACACATATCCAATCCAAGCTTTGAGGGCGGTTACATATTGCCCACTCCCTCGAGTTTGACTCCGCCCTTCGTCTTGACGTACACTTCTCAACCTATCAACGACTAAGCCTGTGGATGGGCGAGGGGACGGGGGCGGAGAGTGGGAGGAGGCAGAGAGAGGAAGGAGGCGTAGGCTGAGGAGGAAGAGGGAGGAGGGGCAGGGAAGTCCTAGCGGAGAGGAGGCCCTAGACTCGAGGAGACTACAGGAGGGTGCGCTGGTGCTACCCCGCTGCCCAACGGCCGTTCCGGATCTTTTAAGGTGCAAGTCAGACAGAGACGGAGGAAAGGAGGTAGAGACTTTTATGTCGGCAGACAGAGAAGCTCTACCCGTCACCGTTGCCTCACATCCGGGGCTTCGGAGGGCTGGCCCCGCGGCCCCGCCCGCCCCCTCGCGCCTTTCATGGCGACCGGAGGCGGAGGCTGGAAGAGCTGGGTCTGGAGGAGTCCCCTTTAAATCTCCTTAAAGGGGTGGTCATTGAACTCGGCCGACTACAACGCCAGCCTTAAAGGGGAAGCCGCCGAACTAGACGCTGACAAATTGGAAACTGTGCTGTTGGGAGAATTGGAGCGAGTGGAGATTCTCGCGTCTTCTCTCCTACGCAAGAAGTCCTTTAAATTCAGCTTAAAGGGGAAGTGGCCGCTTGTGGAGAACTAGAAACTAACGCCCGATTTCTTAAAGGGGCGGCCTGCTGTTTGGAGGACCCTGGACTCCTTAAAGGGGTGGCCTCTTTTAGCCGGAGGATTTGAGACATTTTTAAAGGGGAGGTCTGCGTTTCGGGGCGAGCTTTCGGCCGCTTTTAAAGGGGTGGCCCTTCCTCTTCCTCGGGGAGACTTGTCTCGACCCCTGGCAGGGGGCGGCCACCGCAGTAGGCCAGCCGGATACCATCGGGTCGTCTTAAAGGGGCTAGGGGCTGGACAACTTGAGGCCTCGCCTTAAAGGGACGGCCGCCCCGTTTTCGCCGTCTCGGCCCCGCCGGCCCCACAGGGGGGCCCTGGGGCTTGTCGCCCCGGGGGCGGCGCCGGCTCCCTGGTCCTTGGCCTTGGGGCAAGCTCGGGGCCATCAGATCCTGCTTTAAAAGGGAAGTCGTGGCCCTCTCGTCCCTGTGCAGCCGCCAGCGCCGCGCCTGTGACCCCGGGCCTGTGGACAGGCCGCTTCGGGCCCCGCCGCCTCCGGATGCGGCGCTGAGGGCGGTCGCCATGGAGACGACAGCGGCCGCGGCTCCGGGCCCGGGCTGGGCCGCTGAGGGGGAGCGGCGGCGGCGGCGCTGCTCGCGGCGAGACCGAGACCGGGAGCAGCGGCGCCGCCGAGGCCCCGGCGGCGACGCGCCCCGGGCCTTGTTGGCCGCCCCGCGCGGCTCTTCGTCCTCGTCCTCGCCGCCGCCGCCCGCCAGGCCCTGGTCGTCAGCTTCGTCTGGAGAGCGGCCCGGAGGCCCGAGACGGCGGCGGCCGCGTCCCAGGCCTCGGCCCCCGCGACCCCGAGCTCGGAAGCGGCCTGCCGGGTCGGGCAGCCGCGGGGAGGAAGAGGAGGAGGAAGAGGAGGGGGGCGCAGACGACGGAGAGGCCGAGGAGGAGCCTGAGGAGGAGGAAGAAGAGGAGGAGGACTTGATCGATGGCTTCGCCATCGCCAGCTTCGCCAGCCTCGAGGCCTTGCAGGTGGTGCCTAGTGGGGCTGGAGACCTTTGGGGGCTTCAGAGGGGCAGTGAGAAGGTTACGGGGTGCCTGGAGTGGGTGGAGTTGTGGGGGGAATGCTGGCACCCCAAACCAGAGCAACCGGCTCCTCTGGCCAGGCCTCTGCCCCACCCTGGGGTGGGAGGAGGTAGAGCTAGTCTCCGGGGACCAACCAGGTTACCGAGCCTGAGAGCCACTTTTGTAGCCTGGTCACCCCTAGAGAGGTCGGGAGCTTTTCTCTCTCCGTCCACTTTAGTCCCACCTCCTCCTCCACAGAAGGATGCGTCTCTTCAGCCCCCAGAGCGACTGGAACATCGGCTGAAGCATTCTGGGAAGCGGAAAAGGGGGGGCTCCAGTGGGGCCACTGGGGAGCCAGGGGATAGCTCTGATCGGGAGCCTGGCCGGCCCTCTGGGGATCGAGCCCGAAAATGGCCCAACAAACGGAGAAGGAAAGAGGTGAGCTTGTTCCAGGTTTCTGTCCTTTAAAACTCTGAGCAAAATGGCCTTTACATAGACCCATCTTCCATCAACAATGCCCCTGTCCCTCACAAACAACGATCCCAGTCTCTAAGGGCAAAGAGGAAGGCAAAGCAAATTTGAGCTCCCACTCCCAATTTCAGGTCTCACAAAGACATGTCCACAGTTAGACTTGCCTACTTTTGGCTGACACTTAGTATACTTCAGACATGTTGATAATTTAGAGATATATCAAAGAGACATAGTTGAATCATAAACGAATTAGACGTGGTCTCTGCCATCCCCCTCGAGGCAGTGGCAGTCCAACAGGAAAGAAACAGTCTGTGAGCAAATACCTAGACCAGAACCTAAGAAGCTACAGAGGGCAGAGGTCTGGGAGAGATACTGTAGAAACCCACATGAGGAAGCCACTCATTCTGCCTGGGGGATGGGAGGAGGGTTGTGGTTAGGGAAAGCCCCCTAGGATGTCTTAGTCAGGCCTTGAAGGATAGTCATAAGTTTGTTAAGAAACTGGGCAAAGTTGTTTTGGGCGAAAGCACAGAGATGTGAGAATCTGGTATATTTGAAAAATGACCAGAGCAGTGGGAACGAGTGGGCAGTAGCAGGAGAAGTAGCTAGAAAGAGATTGAGAGTAGGCCATGAGGAGCCCTGAGTGCCTTGCTGGGGAGTTTAGACTTTATCCAAAGGCTTCACCAGTCAGCCTCCCTTACCTCTGGACTCTGGTCTTTCTCAGGCCTCCTCCCGTCATTCTCTGGAAGCTGGATACATAGTAAGTGCTCTCCACCTGTACTGGCCCCTCCCCTCTCACTCCCTTTCTGAAAGTCCCCTCTTGACCTTGGGCCCCAACTCTTCTTCCCTTTTGTGACACCTCTGTCTTTCCTTCTCCCCAGTGTGATGCAGAAAGTGATCTGGACGAGAGGGTGAGTGGGGCTAGACCTGGGTGGGCAACATTGCCAGCTTGTAAAGTGAACTGCAGCTTAAAGGTGCCCTGTGAGCAGCAGACAGAGCCTCCCCTTGAGTCAGGGACATGGGTTAGGTTGAGCCAGGATTAGATTTTTGGGAGGAAGATGGGGATTGAGAGGTAAATGATTTCTGTTCTTTGGTGGCTAGAGCCAGTTGACCAAAGAATGAAAGGCCCTGCCTTGGTGTGCCATCCTTTCCAAAGCCGTTGAAGATACCACTGGTTCTCCACAGAAATCCAGGGTGGCTGTGGAACTGAGCTGGTCCTTCCTGCTAGCTATTAGTCTGCTCTAAAGATTAGAGTCTGAACAGAGACCATGGGTCATGGCAGTGAGGACAGTAAACCATTGTAGTCAGCGTAAGAACATATCCTATAAAGGTGTGTTTCGGTTTATTGTTAGGCTGATTTGCTTGTTTTGAAATAACGTGACCTGGCAGTTGATGCTCTACCTTTGTAACCAACTAAATTTGCACTCCCTGATTTGTGTCTTGTTTTAGTTTAAAAAGTTGGCTGTACAGGGCCTGTGGTGAACCAGAGAGTTCTTGTCCATCTAAAGGGGGCGGCCACTATCCAGTTCTAGCTAGTTTTTGCCACGTAAGAATAGGGGCCCCTTCTCAAGAGAACCTGCAAGTCTCAGTTTGTGTGAGAAATCTCTGGATTTCTAAATATCAGCGATTAGTTTAAAATTTTTTGCTAACACTTGTGGACCAAACAAATCTGTAAGCCAGGTAGGCGTATGGGCCAGCAGTTAGTGACCGCTGATGTTTTTGCTTTGGTTTGCCTGCTTATTTGCTACTTCAGTGCTGCCTCGATTCAGCCCTCCTGGCCTATCAGATTCTCAGGCTCTGCTGCTCTACCCTTTTCCCCAAGCATAGACCCCCTGGAGCCCACAGTCTTTGATGGATTTCAGCTAAGCTGATGGAATAGATTTAGCACCGCTGCCAGTTCCTAGCAGGCTCCAGAGGCTGTTGGCCTTCCTGGGTGACAGCCTGGCCTGACCAGAACCTGATCCTGTCCCTACCCTTCTTCCCCAGGTCTCCGATGATGACCTCGACCCGTCCTTTACTGTCTCAACCAGCAAAGGTTGGTCCCAAGAGCTGGGGCTGGAGACAAGGGAGGGAAATTGGGTGAGCATGGGCCTCAACTGAATATGTATGCCCTTCTGCCCTCACAGCCTCGGGCCCCCACGGCGCCTTCAATGGGAACTGTGAAGCAAAACTCTCCGTAGTCCCTAAAGTGTCGGGTCTGGAGCGGAGCCAGGAACAGCCCCCAGGGCCCGACCCGCTGCTAGTGCCTTTCCCCCCGAAGGAACCACCACCTCCACCGGCCCCTCGGCCTTCTGTCTCACCCCCTGCACCCCTGCCGGCCGCCCCCAGTCTGCCACCCCCACCCCAGCCCCAGCTGCAGCTTCGGGTCTCGCCCTTTGGCCTCCGCACTTCTCCCTATGGCAGCAGCCTGGACCTCAGCACTGGCAGGTGAGTGGTCCAGGGGTTTGGTCTGGTCTGGAAGGGCCTGGTTGTTTTGGCGCCAACCCCTGCATTCTGCGGCTGGGACATGGGATGGTGCCTGTGGGATGTGACTTGAAAAAGCATTCTGAGGCTGAAAAGTTTGAGAGACACTGGGTGAAACAAATTTAAAGAGATTGTTACAGGACTTATCAGAACCCTTTATACATTCACATCCAGGGGAATCCAGTTTGTGCCTTTTTCCAATTTTATTTGCTGGTGAGATCTTTTCGTAAAGCACATCTGCTAGGATTAGTGTTCTTCAGAACATACTTTGGGAAATGCTGGCATGATGATTAAGAGTGCTGACTTTGGTGTCAGTCAGACCTGGATTCAAATTCTTATTCTGCCACTTAGTGGCTGTGTGATTTTTGACAAGCCACTTAACCTCTCTGAGCCTCAATTTCCTCTTTCTGTAAAATGAAATAATAATAGTACCTTCATCCTAAAGCTGTTGTGAGGAATAATTGTGAGTTAATGCAGTGTTTCCCAAAGTGTGTATGCTCATTGTTAGTGGCGTGTGAGATAATTTCAGGTGTTATATGAGTAAATTTTTGTCAGCTTTTACATGCTTTAGAAAAACATGACTAGTACCTCAACACCTTGATTTCACATGTTATTGCTTGGGTGAGGCTAAATAAAAAAGAAAGGAACTGAGTTAAGTTAAAGAAGTAAATGGTACAGGTGGTTCCATGGATGCAGCAGCAATTGGGAAGGTGGTGTGAAATGTTGGAGACTTGGATTAGCATATAAAGCAGGTGACAGCACTTGGCCTACAGTAAGTGCTTGCTAAAGGGTAAGAGTTATTGATACTATTATAATTGATGTTATCTTTCATTATTGTTCTCGTCATTATCATTCTTTTTCTTATTATTGAGAAAACTAAGGCTCAGAGAGGGGCAGTGACTTGCTCAAGGTCACCCAGGGTGTTAATGGCAAGATGGGCCTAGAATTCTGGTCTCCTGACTTTTAGGCCAGGCCAGTGTGGTGCTGCTTCCACAGTCTTAGGATGGGAACCCAGGTGGCCTATTGTAGTTCAGCGTCAAAGTGAATGATATGTTTTGTGCTGTGGTTGAGACAGAAAAAAGAAAGTCATGTGGCCAGAGGTGTTAGAGGCAGCTTTGTGGAAGAAGAGACCTAGAGAGGGAAAAAGGGGGTTGTTGGGCGTGGGGGGTACCTCAGTTTGAGGATGGGTTCCCTGGGTGGGGGTGGGGGTCCTGGCGGCCGGGTTCTACCACCTTCCATGTTGGAGAACCAGGGTCAAGGTATCGCCCAGGCTTCTGACCCCCTCCTGTCAGAGCTGGCACCTCCCAACCCCTCACTCATCTCCCCACTTCTCTCCCCAGCTCTTCACGGCCGCCCCCCAAGGCCCCGGCCCCTCCCGTGGCTCAGCCTCCCCCCTCATCATCCTCTTCGTCCTCTTCCTCTTCATCTGCCTCCTCCTCGTCCGCGCAGCTCACCCACCGGCCCCCAACGCCCTCACTGCCCCTGCCTTTGTCCACCCACAGCTTCCCCCACCCTGGGCTGCGGCCCCCCCCACCACCCCACCATCCCTCCTTGTTCTCCCCTGGCCCCACTCTGCCCCCACCCCCACCCCTGCTGCAGGTGCCAGGGCACCCTGGGGCCTCAGCTGCTAACGCCCTCTCTGGTGAGTTTGGGGTCCTGGCCGGGGGGTGGGGGGCCATGGCCCTGGGCTTGGGCCCCCTTGGCTTTGGGGCATCTGGACCTTAGCAGACAGCAGGGCTTGAGGAGGGAGTGGCTCAAGGCCAGAAGGGAAGGCCAGTCACCCGGGCCCAAGGAGTCTGGCATGGTGGCAACAGATATTAAAGCCTTCTCCCCCTCCCCTCCCACAGAGCAGGACCTGATCGGCCAGGACCTGAACTCTCGCTACCTGAATGCCCAGGGTGGCCCCGAGGTGGTGGGGGCAGGGGGCTCAGCCCGGCCCCTGGCCTTCCAGTTCCACCAGCACAACCACCAGCATCAGCACACCCACCAGCACACCCACCAGCACTTCACCCCTTATCCCCCGGGCCTGCTGCCACCCCACGGCCCCCACATGGTGAGCTCCTCATTGGGCTGGTGATGAGGGCTCAGAGACCTGGGGGGAGGGTATGGGTTCCAGGGGAAAGCCCTCTGTCCCTGGCTGGCAGTTTACTCTTCCCTTCTCTTCTCTAGTTTGAGAAATATCCAGGAAAGATGGAAGGCCTTTTCCGGCATAATGTGAGTGTGTGTGTGTGTGTGTGTGTATGTATGTATGTATGTATGTACGTGTGTGTGTGTGTGTGTGTGTGTTTGGTCTGTGGGCATGGATACATTGATGCTTGTGGCCTTTACTGTTGGGGTCCAGTCTTCAGCTTCAAAAGCAAGAGCCTTGAGCCTGAGAGAACTCTCTGGGGGAGGGGGGTTAGGGTGGAGGCCAGAGGACTGATGGGCAGACCAGATGGGCTGCACCTCCACCCCTAGCTTGGACTAGCCCCCTTCTCTCCACAGCCGTACACGGCCTTCCCTCCCGCAGTGCCCGGCCTACCTCCGGGCCTCCCGCCGGCTGTCTCCTTTGGCTCCCTGCAGGGGGCCTTCCAGCCCAAGGTGAGCTCCCAATCCAGACACTACCAGTACTGCCTCCCACTCCTTACAAACCCAGATGCCCTCGGATTCGCATACCTTCTTCCTTTCCCCAAAACAATACGCATCTTCCTGCCCTCCCCTGTGGACCCAGGTTTCTCCAAAGCCATACTCCCTCCCTCTCCCAGCCCCAGCTTGGTTTTAGACCCCTTTTATGCCTGGTGCCAGCTCTCCTGACTGATCCCTCCACTCCCCTTTACCAGAGCACGAACCCCGAGCTGCCACCACGACTGGGGCCAGTGCCGAGCGGGCTTCCCCAAAAGGGGACACAGGTGAGGGGGGGCCAGGGCAGGTCCTAGGGGAACTGGAAGATCTGTTGAGGGAGAGCAGGGTTGATGTGAGAGAGAACCACTGATCACTCCCTTTTATATATGATCATGGTGTCCCTGAGAATCTGACGAGAGGGAATTTCTGTAAATGACAGGATTTCCCAGGCATGAGAAATAGGAATTTCATGAAGTTGCCCCAGAAACAAGATTACTAGGACAGTGGTTTTTGTAGGGGTTTTCAAATATTTTAAGTGACAGAGCGTTTTTTTTTTTTGCCAAATGACATCATAGCAGGAAGTCCTATCCCTGAAACAATGAAAAGATAAGCTGCCCCTTTGTGAAGTGGCATGGGGGAGCAGCGTTAGAGCCCAGGGCACTGGGAACGTTGTGAAAAGCACAGGATGTGTTTCCTAAAGGATAGACTAGACCAGAGGTTTCCCAACCTCTTTTAGCAGTAGTAGAAGCTTTTTTCTAAGGAAATCTTTAGCAGACCCTTGTTATATAAAGCTGTCAGTAGAATAATTTTTCTGGTTGAGAAACGCGTCCTCCTGCCCATTAATCCACTCCCAGCCTTCCAAGCAAGGCACCTCCTTGGGGCACCAGTTCAGAAACTTGGTGCTGGAGGGGAGTTGCCCACAGTGGGAGAGATGGGGAAAAGAGTCTTGACACAAGCAGGAAAGCTTTGAGGAAGCGACACAAGGTCTCAGGGAGGTGTTTGAGGGGGGATTGGGGACTGTGGAGATGACGTCCCAGGTCAGTAAACAGGTCTGAATTGCCGCCAATCTCTGCTTTGCCCTCCCCAGATCCCCGACCATTTCCGGCCACCTTTGAGGGTGAGTTTGGTGAGGCCCTCAGGCTGCATGAGGCTGGGGGCTGGTGCCAGGGTGTTTGGCTGAGGGGGGGACTTGCTTGGGAATGAGTGAGAAGCCCAAGACATGGAGGCAGCCAGATGTGGAAGAGCAGAAAGTGAAAGGCTTGCAAGGACAGGTCTGGGTTCAGATGTAACTGGCCATGGGACCTTGGGCAAGACAGTTTTATCTCTCTGAGCCTCAGTTTCCTAGCCTGTGAAGTGAACCTGGTCATCCCTCAGTTGTAGGGATGATGAATGGGGATGTTGTGTGGCAAGGCTGGGCCCAGGGCCAGGCCTGGAGTGGGTGATGAGTGAACGTTCTTTCCTTCCCTTTCCCTTTGGTCATCCTTCTGGGGCGGCAGAAACCAGGGAAGTGGTGTGCCATGCACGTGCGCGTGGCTTACATGATCCTGAGACACCAGGAAAAGATGAAGGTACTGGGGCTGGAGGGCTGGGGAGAGCGGGCCTGCCTAAGCTCTGGGCTTCTGCAGAGCTTGGCAGAATCTTGGCCAGAATCATCCCCTCCTGTCCCTTGTCACTGCCTGAGCAATTCCACAATTAGCACTAGGTTCTCTGACTAACTAGGGGGATGGTCAGAGAATGCTCTGAGAGAGGCAGAGGCTAGGCACCCAAGCCCCGTATTGGCACCAGGCAGCCCTTGGAAGGGGCCTAGGGGTGGAAGAGCAAGAGCGGGACCACACCTGGCTCCTCACTCACTGCCCTTCTCCCTGTCCCACGCAGGGTGACTCCCACAAGCTTGACTTTCGGAGCGACCTCCTGCCCTGCCTTCCTGGGCCCTATGGGGCCCTGCCCCCTGGGCAGGAGCTCTCCCACCCGGCCGCCTCCCTCTTCACTGCGACTGGTGAGTCTGGCCAGCCTTCTCGGGGCCTGAGGTTCCCTGTCTAGAGCCCGAGGCCCACCTTGCGCCCACTCAGCCTCATCAGAATCTCCTACCTCTCTGCCCCAGGTGCCGTCCATGCTGCAGCCAACCCTTTCACGGCAGCTCCCGGGGCCCACGGACCCTTTCTGAGCCCCAGCACCCACATTGGTAAGAGCCAAGGGCATGTTGGGCAACCTAGGCCTTGTCCCTGACTTCCAGGAGTTCTCAAGCTGGGAATGAAAATTAGACCTGAGAGGCAGCTGGAATGGGGGGGTAGACCTGGTTCCACTTGCTTTGTGACCTTGGACAAGTTACTCTACCCCATCTGAGCCTTGATCTCATCATCTATAAAATGGGATAGGGAATGGCAGAGTGATTGTCAATCTCTGTCAGCTCAGACACTGTCTCTGAAGTAGCCAGTGGTTGGGGGTAGTGTGCCACCTGGGAGAGGAGGGTGGAAGAAGGCTGCGCAGGCCCAGGGGAGAGTATGATCACTGGCTCCTAGTGATCTCAGCAGGCTTCTTGGGGAGATTTATCCTGGGTGTGGGTGGACAAGGAGGAATTGAACCTAATAGCCTAGGGAAAGGCGTTCCTGAAAGAGCAAATTGTGAGGTTCCCATGGTGGAATAGGTTAGTTGTTCTGACCGGCTACATGACAGATGCATGAAGTTAGGGTCAGGCTGGGAAGGGCCCTGCATGTCAGATGGGAGGAAGCCAGCAGAGGCCTTCAGGCAAGTGGCTTGCTGTCGAGCTGGTCCAGGTGGCTGATGAGGGCGAGTGGGATACAAGCTTGACCTCTGCAGTCAGAGACGCCCTGGGTTGGAGTGTCGTCGGCAAGTCACTTCACTTCTCTGAGCCTGTTTCATCATCTTTAAGTGGGAATGATCTTGTCTGCCTCATGGGGCTTGTTGTGAGGTTAAACAACACAATGCATGTCAAAGCTCAGTGCCTTGCCTGGCCCAAGAAAGCGCTCAGCACCTGGTTGTTAAAGCCAAGTGGCCGAGGGCTCTGGGGCCTGCTTGCTGATCTGCTTCTTCCCTACCGGTTCTTAGTGCCTGCTCAGAGCTAGCTGCCCAATGCTCTGACCATCCCCCTTTTGTCCCACAGATCCCTTTGGGCGTCCCACAAGCTTCGCCTCCTTGGCTGCCCTCTCCAACGGGGCCTTTGGAGGCCTGGGCAGCCCCACATTCAGTGAGTGCTGGGCGGGGTGGGGTGGTGATGGGCTGTGGCAGTGGGCTGATGTGCTCAGGCAGGGGCTGGGAGCATGCCTGAGTGGGGCCTCCCACTCCTGGCTCCCGTCACTGTCTACTTCGCCCTCTGTCTAGACTCCGGCGCCGTCTTTGCCCAGAAAGAAAGCCCAGGGGCCCCACCAGCCTTCGCCTCCCCCCCAGACCCATGGGGCCGCCTGCACCGCAGTCCTCTGGCCTTTCCTACCTGGGTCCGGCCCCCTGAGGCCTCCCGGACACCAGGCTCAGACAAGGAGCGGCCTGTGGAGCGGAGGGAGCCCTCTATCACCAAGGAGGAGAAAGACAGGTATGTTTCCCCCAACTCCTGGACCCCCTGCATCTTTGCCTAGCTTCTCAGCCTCTCTGACTCTGGAGTACCCACATTCTCTCCTCCCACACCTGCCCCCAGGGACCTCCCCTTCTCACGGCCCCAGCTCCGAGTTTCTCCTGCTACTCCCAAGGCCCGGGCTGGTGAGGAAGGGGCCAGGCCTGCCAAGGAATCGGTGCGGGTAAAGGAAGAGCGGAAGGAGGAGGCCGCCGCCGCTGCCGCCGCTGCTGCCGCTGCCGCCGCCGCTGCTGCTGCCGCTGCCGCCGCTGCCTCCACCGGGCCTCAGGGCCTTCACCTGCTGTTTGAGAGGCCCCGGCCACCACCGTTTCTGGGCCCTAGTCCTCCAGAGCGCTGTGCTGGCTTTCTGGAGCCCACCTGGTTGGCAGGACCCCCTCGCCTTGCTAGGCCACCCCGCTTCTATGAGGCGGGTGAGGAGCTGACTGGACCAGGGGCTGTGGCTGCTGCCCGCCTCTACGGTCTAGAGCCTGCCCATCCCCTGCTCTACAGCCGCTTGGCTCCTCCTCCGCCACCTACTGCGGCCCCGGGAACCCCTCACCTTCTCAGCAAGACCCCACCAGGAGCCCTTTTGGGGGCACCACCTCCGCTTGTGCCCGCCCCCAGGCCTAGTTCCCCACCTAGGGCCCCTGGCCCAGCCAGGGCTGACAGGTGAGGGAAGGGGGGAGGGGCAGGGGCAAAGCTCCATCCCCTTTTCCTTTTGATGAGGTCCTAGAGCTGAGGTTTCATGCCAGGGCTGGAGGGCAAAGGTCATGACCTCACCAGTCACCTCTGAGGTCCTAGAACCTGGGAGCAGAAGCCCCAACCCCCCAGATCAAGCATCAGATGGACCTTAGGGTCACTGGGAGGGCAGAGGTCACAAGCCTCTAGAGAGAGGGGTGTACATGGCTGTGTGTGTGTGTGTGTGTGTGTGTGTGTACGTACGTGTATACGTACATGAGAGTGGGGGTCATTTCAGAGGTCACGGCTCATGATCTTCTGAGTTGCACCATTGCCCTCTCTGAGAGTCCCGAGGCCCTTGGCCTGCCTCTCCAAGGGCTCACTAAGCCAGAGGCCAAAGTGCCCCCCTCCTCTTCACCTACCACCCAAGTCCTCATGCCCTCTCAGGGCTGGGGGAGGAGGGGCTAAAGGAAGGGGGGTTCCATGTACATATTTATCTCCCTTTCCACATAGCCCCCCAGACCTTTTGTACATTTTTACAGGGGTGCCCCTCCCAATAATCCCCCTTTCTGGTTAATTAAATCCTCAGACTGGTGCTGTGTTCCTAGCCTCTGGCCTCTCTGTGGGGAGGGGGGACTACCGGGGGAAGGTAGGAACCCAGGGCTTATCCCTGGGAATGTGGGGTCCAGCAGGAGGCAGACCAGCAGAGGAAGGGACCTGGGTACCTAGGCTGGAAAGAAGGGCAAATGCGCTCTGCTTGGCTCATAGCCCAGGTTCCTCCTGCTTGTTCCTGTTACCTCTGTGTGCCCCCATGCCCAAAAGGCTCAACCTCTTAAGCTTCAGACTCCGACTCTTAGTGGCTCAGTCCCCCCAACGTCGTTTCCAAGTGCCCCCAGGACTCCTGGGCCCTGCTCTCCAGAACCCTGTTCCCCAGAACCCTGCCCCAGGCTAAGGGGGGTCCAGAGAAGGTCACCATGTACCACACACCAAAGAAGGGGGTCGGCCCGGGGGTGGGCCACACAGGCAGCTTCTTCAGCAGCCTCTTGGCAGCAGCCCCAGCCTTCCCAAAGCAGCAGGCGCCCCCAGGCTGGGGCCCAACCTAGAAGGCAGGGGTCTGTTTAACAAAAACGTAACGTTGACTTTTTTCCCCAGTGGGACTTATTCTGTAACATGACTTGCGGATATTTATATAAAAATGAGTGTTACAATGAGGCCCCTTGGCTCCTCTTTCAGTGTGTGTGGGTCTCCTGGGGGGAACTGGACTGGGTTTTGGGGTCAGGGAGGGATGGGGACAGTACTGTCCATATCCTGACAAAGATTTTCCCTTCCCTCCCATCTGGGAGAGTTGTTCTACTTCTGGGTGGATGCATTGGAGTGTTGGGCACTGAAGTTTTTCATATTTTTCTACAATCCAGGAGTAGATAGTATATAAAATTCAAAAATACAAGAAGACAGCAAAACTGAATTTCCCTTTCACCTGCCAACTCACCCAGTCCCCCCCCCCCGACTTCCTGAGGTAACCACTGTCCATCATTTGGTATATGTTCCTCACGCCCCTTTCTAAGTGTCTGCATATATGTGAACACACATAATTATGTTAGAAAAGATCTATAATTTTTTAAAAAATTGTATTGGTTTTTCTTTTATACATGGTCATTATAAACCAATTCAAACATACAGAAATACATAGTACAAAGGGAAAGTGCCTCATAATCTCCCCTCTCAGAGATAACCACTGTTAATTGTCAGGGGTATATTTCTCCTGTTATTTTTCTGATTATATGCTTAAAATATTGTGAAAAAATGGGATCCTGTGAAATGTACTATTTTGCAACTACGTTTTTACACTTAACATTATTCTTTGATGTAGTCATTAAAAAATAAATGACTCCTAAACTGCGCTAGGAAGGCTGGCTCCCACCCAAGCCACCCAAAATTAACTTGTTCCAAGTGTACCCAACCCCTTAGGAAAGACACATCCAACATTCTCTGCTGCCACCACACATACCCAAGACTTCTAGGGAGGACTCAAGCCTAGATTGTTCCAACAGAAGTCAGAAATAGGTTGACCAGAAGGAGAAACTTGGCTTGCAGGCAAGATTTCACATGGCAGTCTTTGTTTTCAGCTTCTCTTGAAAAATCCAAAAATATGTTGACACTGTACCTGCTTTCCCTATGATTGTCCCTTGAGATGGGGCATGATCTCTCCAGACTGTCACTGTCCCCTCCACTCTATTGTTGGCCGTTGTCACACTGCCACAACTTGAGCGTGGAACTCTCAGTGAAGTATTTTCAGATATGTATATCCAACCTCTCCTAGGTCTCTCCCATGAGCACCTCAGATATCTCAAACAGTCATCTCCTAGATCTGATGCTGTGCACCACCGCTACCACCCCCTGGCCACATTTCCATCTCTGTGAGTGTTACCAGCACCCAAGTCTGAAACCTCCCTTTCACCTCACTTGATTCACTGTTGGAAGTGGCTTTCATTCTTTCAGCCACTGTTCGCTTAATCAATCATGCCAGGTGCTGAACTAATGATTGGGGATACAGAGGTAAACAAAATCCCAGCTTTTCTGGATTTTACATGCTATTGTGAGAGGAGCAACAAATACACACTTCAAGAAGAAAAGGCTGAAAGGAAAGAATCCCAAAGGCTGCCTTCTTTGGGCTGTCCTCGTGACCACTATGCTTCATTGATCCATTTCTGCATGTTCTGATCCTAACTCAGGCAGCTCCTCAAGCAGAGGTAAAAGGGTAGTCCAAAAACGACTGTCAAGATTGGGAAAACACCGAACCAAACCAAACCAAGATCATTCACCATGGTGAGGCTGCTATTTGGAAATGCATTTCTTTGCTTTGAATGAGTTTGGCAGAGTAGCAATGTAATCTTAAGCAACGTGCTTATTTCTGTGCCATGGTTTCTTTACTTGTAAAAGGGAAGATCTTTAAAGCAACTTTGTTAATTCACATTCCATACAACTCATTCAGTCTGTTATGACTAGCTTCTTTCACTTAGCATTATGGTTTCAAGGTTCATCCATGTTGTATCAGTACTTAATTCTTTTTTATTGCCAGATAATATTCCACTGTATGGATATACTACATTGTGCTTATCCATTCTTCAGTTGATGGATATTGGGTTGTTTCTTTTGACTGCTATGAATAACGCAGCTGTGAATATCTGTGTATGAGTTTTTGTATGAACACATGTTTTCAATTCTCTTAGGTATATGCCTTGGATTGGAATTGCTGGGTCATATAGTAACTCTATGTTTAACATTTTGAGGAACTGCCAAACTAGTTTCCAAAGTGGCTGCACTATTTTACATTCCCACCAGCAATGTATGAAGATGGAGTTTTAATGGTTTCTCCTAGCATTACTGTATGAATTCGCTAAGTCAACAAGCATAAAGTTCTTAGAACAGTGCCTGACTCAGAGTAAGTGCTCAAAGAATGATTGCTGTCATTACTGGTGATGCCTTTCTGATGAGGACTCGAAGAAGCAGATTTTTAGAGCTCAATTAAGGAGCATGCTTACTTACATGCAGTTTGTTGGCGAGGCATATCTTTTAAAACAGGCTTTGGGGTGGGCAACATCTATCTAAGGGCACAGAAGAAGGAAGGAGGAGCCTGAGCCAGTGAAGAACACAGGTTTAGAGCATTTGACGTTAGACAAACCAGAGTCTGAGTTTGGCTTCCACTCACCAACTCTGTGACTTTACTCAAGTTGCAGCCTGTTTCTAGGGTGGACAAACAAGGAAAATGACAATCTCAGTCCACAGGTTTGTTGTGATGGTTATATGGGGTAATGTATGTAAAGGGTGCCTAGCACAGAATTTAGTTCACAATAAACATTCAGTAAATGAGAGTGTTGTTATTGATGGCAGTTGGAAAGATGAGAAATAATTTCCCTGTCTTAAGATGGGTAAATTGAAATTCAGAGTATTTATATGACTTATGGAGTCAGGAGAAGAAAGGAGACATACTTATTGGGGGAGGAGGCTAAAAAAAATTAACTTTGGGCTGGTACTGTGGCGTAGTGATTAAGTTTGGCACACTCCGCTTTGTGGGCCCAGGTTCGCAGGTTCGGATCCCAGGCACGGACCTCCACCACTCATCAGCTGTGCTGTGGCAGCAACCCACATATAAAGTGGCAGAAGATCGGCACAGATGCTAGCTCAGGGCCAAGCTTTCTCAGCAAACATAAATAAATAAATGAAAATAATAAGCTTTATTGTTTAGAAGTTTGATTTACAGAATAATTGTGAAGATAGTACAGAGAATTCCTATATGCCCCACACTCAGTTTCCTCTCTTAACAGCTGTTAACTTCCCGCATTTGTTACAATTAGTTGAATCAGTATTGATATAATTATTTACTTAAGTCCATACTTTATTCAGATTTCCTTAGTTTTTACCTAATGTCCTTTATTTGTTCCAGGATCCCTCAAGGATACCCGTTATATTTAGTCATCATGTCTCCTTAGGCTCCTCTTTACTGTTGAGTTTTCCAGACTTTCCTTGTTTTCAATGATCTTGACAGTTTTGAGAAGTACTAGTCAGGTATTCTATAAAATGTCCCTTAATTGGAATTTGTATGTTGTTTTTCTTTTCTTTTCTTTTCTTTTTTTAAAGATTGGCACCTGAACTAAAATCTGTTGCCAATCTTCTTCTTCTTTTTTTTTTCTTCTTCTCCCCAAAGCCCCCCAGCACATGGTTGTATATTCTAGTTGTAGGTCCTTGTGGTTCTGCTATCTGGGATGATGCCTCAGCATGGCTTGATGAGTGGTGCTAGGTCCGTGCCCAGGATCCGAACCGGCTAAGCCCTGGGCCTCCAAAGCAAAGCGCACGAACTTAAAACCACAGGGCCAGCCCCTATTTTGTTTTTCTTAGAATTAGACTAGAGTTATGGCTTTGGGAAAGAGGCAGGTAAAGTGCCATTTCCATCAAATCATATCAATAGCACATGCCTTCAAGATGATTTATCACTGTTGATGTTGGTCTTAATCATCTGGCTGAGGCAGTGTTTGTCAGATTACACTGCAAAGTTACTCTTGTCTCCCTTCTTCCCATAGTCTGCTCTGTGGAAGGAAGTTGCTATGTACTAGCCCATACCAAGGGGTTGGGAAATTATGCTCCACCTCCTTGAGAGTGGAGTATCTACATAAATTATTTGGAATTCTCCTGCACAGGAAATTTATCTTTTCTCCACTTACTTATTTATTCGACGTTTATTTATATTGTGATGGATCCATGGATATTTATTTTATACTTTAGGTTATACTCTAGTACTGCTTTATTTACTACTCTCCACTTTTCAGTTGGATCCTGTGTCCCTTTGACATACCCCCATCGTTGTGGGTTTTTCTGTTTGCTTTTTTTTTTTTTTTTTTAAGATTTTATTTTTTCCTTTTTCTCCCCAAAGCCCCCCGGTACATAGTTGTGTATTCTTCGTTGTGGGTTCTTCTAGTTGTGGCATGTGGGACGCTGCCTCAGCGTGGTCTGATGAGCAGTGCCATGTCCGCGCCCAGGATTCGAACTAACGAAACACTGGGCCGCCTGCAGCGGAGCGCGCGAACTTAACCACTCAGCCACGGGGCCAGCCCCTTTCTGTTTGCTTTTTTAGCAGAGACTTACTTTTTACTGTTTATCCTTTTGTATCTTTGGGTTTTGACTCGTGCATGTATTATCTGTG